AGAATATACTTATATAAAAATTTGGTGAAAATTTCATGTATCTACGGTAATTTGTTTTAAAGTTACATCAAAAACCAAAATCGATTTTGTCGAAAATTGACTGTGYGTAAAAATTCCAGTTTTTTCCTTAATTTTTAGTTTGTGTATCCCGATTATTTAGAAAAAATATTGAGAATTTTCAAAGTATCAACTAGATTAACTTTCTGTTCGAWCGAGGTACTGAAGACGAAAATCKAAGCACTTTTACAGCCCCAAAATGTGATGACAGATACAAAAAAAAAGCACCCATCAAAAATAGGTATAAGTAGTCAATTTTTATATGAAAATGTTAAATTATTATAGATATCATATCTTAATTATTTTAATCTTTTAATTTAAATTCTTAATTTCATATCATCATATCATGTTTATTATATTTATATATTTATAGCAAGTATAAAACAAATGTGGTGTAATATGTTTTAAGAGACGTGTTAATTATTCAATAAATTAATGGTTAATGAATATAATACATTTACGTTATTATCATTTTACAGCGTATACATACTATCTATGGAAGTAAAAATGTTTTATGATTATACTATGGCACTTGACATTAAAATCGTAATTWAAATCGCATGTAATATCTTCGCATACTCATTTGCACCTATTGAAATGAGTAAATTGAATAAGACCATGTATAAATGATTCAAACGATCTGTAAGCATAAGATGTAAATAATATACATTTTTTTCTTCCATTTTACCACATGTTAAGGGTGACAGCATGGAGACCAGCGCTCCACGGACCTTGCGAAAATCAATACCGAAGTCCTTACCCCGGTAAAATCTACTGACACAGAGTAGGACATCCGACCGAACTTGACGTTATGGCTTTTACATTTTAATATAACACAGTTATGTAAACAAATCGGTTTCGACTCTGTTTACCTGTCGACTAAATGATTCGATTTGCAGTAATCGTGTTAGTGCTGTTAACYGATGTTCCGTTTTCAACAGAAGAAGACGATAATGTTTTACACATCGGAGGTATATTCCCGATTGGTGGTAAAGGTGGATGGCAAGGAGGTCAAGCTTGTGAACCWGCGGTTAGGCTAGCACTGGAAGATGTGAACAAGCATAGCATTCTATCCGGATATCAATTGAAATTGCATTGGAATGACAGCGAAGTAAGTAAAYTACCAAGTATTTTATATTAGGAATTTTTACTATTTTTGTTATCAATACAGTAAATTCGATTTAAGATTTTAATGAATTTAATCTTCTGTAAGAACAATACAAATTAGATCTGACATTTTAATTTAATAAATCTTTAATTTATTATTTGATCTTGTATTTATTAAAAACTTGAGTTTATTTATTTTTTAAATCATAACTTCAAGGTACGTTTAAAATAAATGTAGAAAATCAAAATTTACCTATTGGAAGTATGAAACAATTACATTTTTAACAAACTATTAACACGGTTCTTAACTAGTATATTCAAACAGTTTTAGTGAACAAAATACATGCTTAAGACAATACCTATTATTATRTTATATTTAGAACTAAMGAATTTAAGTTTATTCTTATTTAGGCTRTATATCATCGCTACATAATATATCTAATCTAAACAATTGCGGAACATTTTTGTTATAAATTAATTAATTACTAGTAATTACTAGTAATTAGTAATTAGTACCTTTTTAAAGTTAAACATTTATTTTAGTTGATTTTAAAATTAATTGAATTTGGTTTTTTACTGTTTAAATTTAATGTTCACTTTATAGACAAAAAGTTATCTTGTCATTTAATTTATAATGTTAACCGTATATGCGTAACGTAATAAAAATAAGAAAAAAATGGTAATTTGTTCGTTTTATAGTGTGATCCAGGACTTGGTGCATCGGTAATGTACGATCTTCTGTATAACAAGCCTCAAAAACTCATGTTATTAGCAGGATGCAGTACTGTATGTACAACTGTTGCCGAAGCGGCAAAAATGTGGAATTTAGTTGTTGTAAGTAAATTTAAACAAATAAATAGCTTTTTTTTTTTTAACCGAGTGACCAAATTATAATTCAGTTATCGAGTACTGGCACCTTTACAATGTATATACCTAAATACCAAATAATCATTTTTGCCAAATATGAAATATATAATATACATGTAAATACGTTGTAAGTTTCAGATGACAAATAATTTTGTAGATCCGACAACTATATTATACTAACATATTTTTATGTATATACATAATTGTTTTTTATCATAATATACTTATGTATTAATACAAAATTAATAAAACCCACTTATTTACCCCACCATCTATTGCGCTTATCATAACAATATTATACAGATTAAACAAGATGAAAATATACATGAAAAAAAAAATTAAACCCCTTAATTCGATGTTCTTACGATATAAATTCTACTTTTTTGAAAATACCTGTATATATTTATTTTATTTATTAATTTGTTTTCAATTTTTTGTATTTTGTTTCGTGGTTTATTCATTATTTGTTCCATGGTATGATTTTTCAGTTATGTTATGGTGCCAGTTCGCCAGCATTGTCAGATCGAAACCGTTTTCCTACATTGTTTAGAACGCATCCTTCAGCAACTGTCCATAGTCCAACAAGAATCACATTAATGAAAAAGTTTGAATGGTATAGAATTGCGATTCTTCAGCAAACTGAAGAAGTATTTATTTCTGTAAGTTTTTTTGAAGTTAAATTTTTATTCGGTAATTAGATATTTGAATTCAAATTTTATTTGTAGACAGTGGAAGATATTGAGACTCGATGCAAACAAAATGGCATTGAAATAATTACTAGACAAAGTTTTGTTAGTGATCCAGCTGACGCTGTTAAAAATTTACGCAGACAAGACGCCAGGATCATTGTTGGTTTATTTTACGTTGTTGCTGCCAGAAAAGTATTATGTGAGATGTACAAACAGCAGTTATATGGAAAAGCCTACGTGTGGTTTTTTATTGGTAAGCAATTTGAATCGTTTTAAATTACTATGGATATAAAATATGCGTGCATAAATATGTAGGGTGGTACGAAGACAATTGGTTTGAAGACAACTTGGAAAATGAAGGAATTCAATGTACGAAAAAAGAAATGAGAATTGCAGCCGAAGGTCACATCACCACTGAAGCTCTTATGTGGAATCAAAACATTAATCAAAAGACTATTTCTGGCATGGTAATATTTTGTTTTAAAAATAATACTCGTTACAGAATGATTTTATAAATGTGTTGGACGTTGGTTCATAAATTAATATTTTTTATGAATTGCAATGTCATAATATTTAATATTAAAAGGAAAGGTAGTCAAGATTTTCGATCTAACGAAACTAGGAATGTATAAACTACTAAATATTTAACATAAAACTAAGTAGGTTTATGAATATCGGTTAAAATTTGTATATTTACATAGGAAACATTAATTTTGAATCTAATTTACACACCAAATTTGCAGTTTAAAAAAGTCTAACAATATTTAACTAATTTATAATGTTTTTAATTAATACGTTAATAATTACTATGTTACCAGATACTACTAGAAGTAGTAAATTAATTTAATTCGTTATGGG